GGAAATCTACTGGAGGGTTGGCTGTGAGTCACAAGTGACTTGACAGCAAAGAGAGAGAAAATAAAACTAAACACAAAAAAAATGTTCTTTTTTTGGTGTCTTCATTTTCTAGAACACAATTAAAAGATCATATATTAATGTGACAACTTGGTCAGATGAATTTCATTCCTGTTTATTCAGTTCTGTTTATTAGATCACCAAAATTTGTGCTTTCACAACTTCATTTTAAATGATGTAGTTTAAAGTCAGCATCAGTTGCATACTGCAAATGAAACATGGCAATTAACTTTAGAGAATTTTGAAAAAGATCTTTTTACAGATGCATCTGACACTAGAGCTTTTAACAGATTGTGACAACACTGGGATAGATTTCTGATAAATTATTTCATCATTATTATGTACAAACATGTATTGTGTTCATTATGATGTACAAATTTCAGTACAGCCGACGCTGGTGGTTCTTACAGAACAAGCTTTTTAAAGACTTAACTCTTCACATGAATTACTTCCATGCAAACCTGAATTCACGTTAAGCTTATCCTGTGCCACTCACTGCTGGGGAATCAGTTCTCACTTGTCGCCTGCCTCCCAGGTGGCTTGCAAGGCTGTATATCTTAACTGGAAGAGATTACCTGTCCCTCCCTCATGGAGTCGCTGATGGGTTCTGACTGCCGGGGACAGGTGGCCTCTTGGTTAGAGGCCAGCATACCCAGCCAGAGCTCCTTCATAAACACCATTCAGACGACGCTCACACAGTATCCTCCTCTATAGATTGTGGAGGTTGTCTAGAAACAGCAAAGTAATGCCTGTGTATAAACCAAGATACCTGTTAATACATTCTATGGCTGCATCTTCACTCACCAGGAAAAATTAAGTTTGAAATTGTACTCCTCATTATTAATTGATTCGTTTGAAGCTTCACATAAAAAGTCCATTCTTTTCCATTAAATACAATGATCTCCAAATTTAGTTTCTGAGTCTCTTGAGATTAATGCTGCAATACTGAAGCAATTTTTTTTAAACCACGCTATGTCCTGTGGCGACAAATGAACCTAGAAGTTTATCACAACCCTTCTGGTACCAATACGTTTGTCCATTACCCCATAACACCCCATAAGTTTGCCATATTGGACTTTTAGTTGGCCCTATCCTATATGGTCTGTAATTTAAATCAGGTAGGATCTCACCAAACTCTAAGACTCAAAGTGAGAGTGATGCTATACAAACCTCTCCTAATCCTTGGCCATGCCAGTCTGTGCCGTTAAACATTTATGCTTTACCTAAAGTGCACAGAAGGAGATTGCCTATCTTCCTCCCATGGAGCCGCTGGTGGATTTGAAACATGTGCCTTTGGCTTGACATTGTCACTCCTTACCACTAAGCCACCAGAGCTCCCGCCTATTGAGAACAGTGTAACTTAATTGCCAATTGAATGGTGTAACTTAATTGCCAGTTGAACAATGTGTTTTATTTCATTCCTGTAGTTTTTTTATCATTTTGTAACTTCCTTATCTTAACACTCCTAGAAATTAGTCAAGAATTCTAAAATGAGTCTTGAAAACAAAATGTATTTGTCACTGATGTGGCAGAATACTATCTTTTTTAACCCAAAATTGTTTGTTTTGTCCAAATCTTATATATTTATACCTGATTTTTTGTTCTGTTTTAACCACCAATCACTAAGACACTCTGGTGTAGCCCTGTCACTTTTATATTATGTATTTTGCTTTTGCCTTAAATTCATAGTTTAGTATTTTTTTAAAAAAAAAAGTTATACTGTACTTAGTACGTTTCTGAGACACTATAATAATCAGGAATGTAAAGGAGTACAAGACACTAAATGGTAACTCACTTAAGGACAGGGACTTTATTTCTGTACCACAAGGTCCTTAGCAATATAGAATAAGTAGAAGCAGAAGCTTGGGGTAGGAAAGGACTTTGGGCTGTAAACTGCACAAAAGGAGTAAATCCCACCAGCTGCTCTCTAGGAGAAAGAGGAGCAGTCTCCTGCCATGTGATTTACAGCTTTCGAATGAATATCTGCTGGAGGAGTCAGCTGTGAGTCAGTTATGACTCAAAAGCAATGACTTTAACTTTTTGATACCTTTAGTAAGAATAGAAAAATTCAACAGAGTAGCAAACATCAAATGCTGGCGAGGTTGTAGAGAAACTAGAACTCTTATTCACTGTTGGTGGGAGTGTAAAATGGTGCAACCACTGTGGAAGGCGGTATGACGCTGTCTCAAAAAGTTGCAAGTAGAAATACCATTTGACCCAGTAATTCCATTACTAGAAATATACCCTAAAGAAACCAGAACTGCCATCCAGGCAGATATATGCACACAGATATATTGTGGCTTTGTTCACAATAGCAAAGAGCTGGAAACAACCTAAGTGCCCATCAACAAATGAGTGGATAGAGAAGTTGTGGTATATTCACACAATGGAATACTATGCTGCATTGAAAAACAAGGAACTCATGAAATATTATACAAAACGGGTCACCCTAGAAGATATTATGCTGAGTGAAATAGTCACAAAAGGACAAATACAGCATAATATCACTGTTGTAAAATGGGACTGACATCGGAGTTGTGGGAACCTAAGAAAAGAGGGAATAAAGAATGTATACTGCATTGAAACAGATGAGGGAGAGAACTGTTTAAAAGCAGGGAACACCAGAGGAATGTCTTATCTGTGTTTCATTGACTATGCCAAGGCGTTTGACTGTGTGGATCACAACAAACTGTGGCTGACTCTCAAAAGAATGGGAATCCCAGAACACTTGATCGTGCTAATGAGAAACCTATACTTGGACGAGGAGGCAGTCATCAGAACAGAGCAGGGAAACACTGCATGGGTCAAAATTGGGAAGAGCGTGCACCAGGGATGTGTCCTGTCTCCATACCTTTACAACCTGTATGCAGAACAGATTATCCGGGAGGCTGGGCTCTATGAGGAGGAATGTGGGGTCAAGATTGGTGGACTATTTATCAACAATCTGTGTTATACAGATGACACAACCCTGCTTGCGTAAAGTGAGGAGGACATGAAGTGCTTGCTGCAGAGGGTCAAGGACTGCAGCTTTCAATATGGATTGAGGCTCAATATCAAGAAGACACTCACCACTGGGCCAATTGGCAGCATCAGGATGGTTGGTGAAGAGATTGAGATTATTCAGAGCTTTAGTTTGCTTGGCTCCACAGTCAACACTCTTGGCACCAGCAGCCAGGAAATTAAAAGATGTAATAAAAGTCTGCTGTTAGGGACCTGTCCAAAGTACTGACGAGCAATGGTGTCTCTCTGGAGACTAAGGTGTGTCTGATATAGGCCATGGTCTTTGCAATCGCTTGTTATGCATCAGAGAGCCGGACAATGACTGAGGAGGATAGAAGGAGGATTGATGCATTTGAGCTGTGGTGCTGGAGAAGAGTACTGAGGGTACCATGGACGGCTAGGAAAACAAACAGATTCATCCTGGAAAGGGTCAAACTGGGCGGCTCCTTGGAGGCTAGGATTCTGAGATTCAGTCTAAGATACTTTGGACATGTTGTAAGGAGGGACCGGTCCTTGGAGAGGGACATCATGCTTGGTAGGGTGGAGGGACAGCGCAGGAGGGAAAGGCCCTCTATGAGGTGGATTGATTCAGTGATTGGGGTAATGGGGATGGGTGTATCGGAGATGGTGCGATTGGCACAGGACAGAGCGGAGTTTAGGACTGTTGTACATAGGGTCGCTATGAGTCGCAAGCGACTTTACAGCACATAACAACAACAATAACTAGGATTAGGCATTATTTTCATGACAAGATGACAGAAAAAGAAATGCATATTTAAGTGGACCGTGGACTGGGGGGGGGCGGGGAATTGTATAACAATGAAAGAATTTTTTTTTCTTCTTTAAAGAGAGAAACCAACTGGGGCGGGGAGGAGTGGGCAGAGAGGAAAATGTGCAACAATGAATAAATGGGGAGCAAATTACATGGGAAGAATATGCTATAAAATATATGTTGCATTAAAAATCATTAATAAAAATACATTTAATAAAAAATAATAATTATAAAAAGAAATACTTCTGTGTGATAAATGCACAGAGGTGGAATTGATGAGTAAAGACTATTGATACTTTCTTACATTTTGATGGATGGTATACATTTTTTCTTCCAGAAAGAATTGTACCTGGTTTTATTCAGTCATCAGTAGCTATCAACGCCTGTCTTGCTCACTTACCAACACTAGATGGTGGTTTTTTCCATTTACTAGCTTGCCTCTTTCCCAGTGGTATCCTTCCTTTAACTTTCCATTTCCCTGATTACTAGTGATTGCAGTGAACATTTATTCATGTATTCATTGGCAGTTCCTGATTAGATCCGTTGCACTGTTCTGAAGCACCAGGTCCTGGATCACAGAGCTGGAGGGAGAGCCCAGCAACTGTGACTTCCCCTTCATCAAATGAGCGTGCTTTTGTCTCAGTTCTTACTGTCCCAGGAAGGGAGCTTCAATTCGCTTTGCTCAGGGTTGCTTCCTTAGAGGAGGAGGAAGTAATACTCATATTGTTATTATCATTATTACTTTCCCCACTCCACAGGCTCTCTCTGCAGGTTAGAGAGGGGCCACAGCGCTTAGCAGAAGAGATCTCTTGGAAGCAGACAACAAAGGCCTTGGGACATGAGTCCTGTTGTTTGCCTTTCCGGAAGTTTCCCTAGAGGGACTTCTTGCTCATTGTATGATCTGTGATCTCAGTGTTGTCCTGGACAGCCCATCTCTACTGAGCTTCTTAGATTCTAATTTCCTCATGGTCTCATCAGGGAGCTCTGGTGGCCTAGTGGTTAAAGAGCTATGCTGCTAACCCAAAGGCAAGTGGTTCTAATCTACTAGCTACTCCACAAGAAAAAGATGGGCAGTCTCCTCCTGCGTGGTGATACCCACTGGGAGGTGAGCTCCACTGCACCTAACAATGGTCTCATTAGTTCTCTCTGGGTTTGTGTGTCTGTGTTACAGGTATGAGCCATCACTGTTGGATCTGGTTCAATCTCTGAGTCCACAGTCTGCTCCCAAACCCCAGTCACATCTATCCAGAGAAGCCGGTGCCTGTACTTCCCGAGTCACTCCTCGTAAACAGACGTGGAACAAGATGGGGGCAGTGAGGAGCCCCGAAGACTTGGAAGAGAACCAGATTCTGAAAGATATATTTTTCATTTGACAATGAAGCACATGCTGCAAACGTTCCATAGGAAATGTGTGATTTTCTTTCTATACTTTCCTTTTCTATCCTTTTAAATTATTTGATTGTAAAGTAATTGTGTCTCTCCTTTCACAGGACCCTGTCTCACTAGCATCCTGTTATAGATTTACTTTAGAAATCACTCTGATAACCCATTGTGGAGGTAGGGGACTGTGAGAGAGACAGAATCAAAGAGAAATCAGTAGATACTATACTAAGAGAGTTTGGGGGAAAGAGCAGGAGGTCTTTTCTTTGCCTAAGAAAGGTTAGAATTGCCTGACAGAGGCCACAGCATATTCAGCCTCATTCTAAGAGTATTTCCTTCTCAGTTGTCTGCTGAAAAACATCTGCTCTCTTTTGTACACAAGGAAAACCTCTCCACTGATATTTTTTTTTAACTTAAGTGTGGTCCCTTTGTAACACAACCTTTTCAGGAAAAAGAAAGACACTTTCACATTCTCCATTCTCCTCTCTGACCATCTGCATCTGAGTGTAAGCTCATTTTGTCTTAAAGATGGAGTTGATGCCCCCCTCATAACATCACCGAGAGCCTGTTCTCATCAGCCTGGTCGCCTGCGACTCTCAGAAGGCTGAGCGAGAGCCCACCCCACCCCCACTTTGAAATAGGCTTTACCTGGGGAATCCAGGGGTGTTCAAGCCTGAACATTTCCCAGCCATCTGTGTTCTCATGATCACTCCTCCAATTACTCAGGAGAAAGAAGAGAAATCTGTTTTTTTTCAGTTGACCCAGTTGTACGTTTTATTTATCTTCCTATCATAAGTTTGATAGGGTCGTTCTGAGTCGTCTACGACTCGACGGCACTTAACAACAATAGCAACAACAACATAGAGCTATGTTGGCCTAGTGGACAGAAAGTTATGCTACCAAGCCCAAGGTGGATAATTTTAGTCTGCGGCCCTCAGGTCTGGTTTAAATTGTGTTTTGTTTTGTTTTTTGTCAAACATTCTTTTAAGTGATATAGTACTGGTCTGTGCATTGCTGTACAGAGGTAACTCGTGGTTGCTGTGATGCTGAACACTGTGACACTCATGCGTCAAATGTGATAACGGTTACCCACGGTGGACAGTGTTTGGTGAAGCTTCCCAATTAAAACAAGCTTGGAAGCAGGAGTGGCATCCACTTCCAAAATAGCTTGCCTCCGGAAACTCTATGAACATTGCTCAGGTCTTTCGTTCATAGGGTCGCTATGAGTCAGAATTCAGGAAATTATACAGGTTCAATAAGTACAGGCTGCCCTGTGTGGTCTGCAACCAATATGGGCTTGACAAAGAGTCCTGGTCTCAAGCCTGAGGCTGGGGCAAGGGAGAGAAAGAAAGAATTCTCTCCAAATAAATTTATTAGTTAAAATACATTTGGAAATGTATCCTCTGCTCACTTCCAATTTTAGAAAGCTTTAAACTAGATCATTTCAGCCTAGGAAGACCTCATTGAGTAACCCCCTTAGCTGAATAAGTCAGCATCTCACATGTAGACGTCTCATCTTTTCAGGCCGGGCAGGGCTCTGTCGCCTCCACCCAGCCTTCCTTCACTTGGATTGAAAACTCATTGTAGAGTGCATTTTTTAAGCCCACCCCAATGAGTAACTAAATATGCTTCCATCTCACTTCAGAAAGAAGAGAGGTAAAACCTTTGCATTAGCAACTCAACTTTCTATGGATAGAATTCATTTTGGATTGGGATGGAGGACGAGGGGAATAAAAATAAGCATTTAGCATTGTTGTTTGTTGTTAAGTGCCATCGAGTCGTAGATGACTCACAGCAACCCTATGAATGAAAGACCTGAACACTTGTATAACTTTCATCATTTCTCCAAGTTCACAGAGTTTCCAGAGACAAGCTATTTTGGAAGTGGATGCCACTCCTGCTTCCAAGCCTGGTATAATCAGGGAGCTCCACCAAACACTCTCTGCCATGGGTAACCATTATCACATTTGACACCTCAGTGTCACAGTGTTTAGCATCACAGATAGGGAACTTTTATTACTGTGGAAGAAATGGGTAGATGACAAACTGGGAGCCCTCAGCCGTTTTCTTGGTTAAAGTTATTTTTCCAGAACTATCTCTTCCTCATGCCAGGTGTCATGACCCTGGGAAGTCCACTGTGCCCCCTGGTCAGCCGTACCCACAGTCACATATTCGGGTCACTAGTAATTCCTCACTAAGAGTGGGATGAAACTCGAAGGACCAAGAAAAGAAAAGCACTGGGATTAGTTTGTTTTCCTTTAGAAGACTCTTAAACAGGGTCTAAACTAACGGGTTTGGAAAGGAGTCACATGTCACAGAATGGGAGTTGCTTCTTTGCTACTCCCTGGCTGAACAGTTTGGAAAAGCCCAGAGAGGTTTTCAGCAGAACTTCAATCAACAAGCTCTGACCAGCCCCCAGCTGCCTTTTTCAAACCTGTAGTCATTTTGTGACTGTTGGGACAATTGATTATGAATCTGTATATAATCTAGCATTTGAATTATTAACTGAATAGTGTGCATTAACATTTTAATCTGTGTTTTTCCTTTGAAATGTGTATGAAAAGGCTGGGTTAGAGCCTTGAGGCTCAACCTAATAACTTTCCCCTGAAGGGAAAGTGTCTCGCTCAAAGGAGTGTGCCTTCCCTCTCAATAGTGAGTGCTGGAGCTCTGCTCCATCAGTCTGGTCTTCACCTGCTTCTCAGAGCAAGCCTGGACACATCCCGGAGTACTGCAAACAGCACTGCAGCATTCTGGAGAGAAAACACAACCAGTGTTTGCCAAGTGGAAAAGCACCAATTATGCCCCCTTGAAGTTATCTGAGTAGGATACAGAGGGCTTAGTTTAACGAAGTGATTTAAAGTTAATCAAGGAAAAGTCGGGGACAATACTCACGCTTCCAGGATGCAGACTTGTGTTTATTCAAACCTGACACCAATGGTGGGGACAAATGTTCTGGGAAGGGAGGAACTCTCTTTCTCTTCCCTCAGTGCCACTCTTTCCGTCTGACCCTTCTTCGAAGATTGTTCTTACAGGTTATTTGCTGATTCTGCAAAGGGGAGGGACCTGAGCGAGCATGGCAGGATAAAGTCTGTAATCACTGGAGACTTAGAGACAAGGAGGCCCCAGCAGACCCCTCCCAGCTCGTGTCTTCTCATCAGTTCAGTGTGTGTATTTTTAATGTTGGCAAATGCTTCTATATGTATGAGATTTTTAATTAATAAATTATCTCTATTTTCTCCCTGTAGTCTTGATATTCCTTGGAGAGGGACATCATGTTTGGGAGAGTGGATGGACAGTGCAGGAGAGGAAGAGCCTGCCTTGATGAGATGGATTGAGTCTGTGACTGGAGTGGTGGAAATGAGTGTGTTTGAGACGGCGAGGCTGGCACAGGATAGAACGGCATTTAGCTCTTGTAACATAGGGTCACTATGAGTCACAAGTGACTCGATGGCACATAACAACAACAACAACAACAGTCTTGATATTGAATTGTCCCTTCAAGGTCTCTCATCAGATTAGTCGAGTATAGTTTAAAAGCAAGAGCAGAGCACAGGCTTTGAAATGTTATTTTCCTCAGTACCTATTAAAACAATAGGATTTTATGTCCAGCTAAAAATATAAAAGGAAATTGCCACATCCCAGGAGGTCTTTCTGGTGTGTCCTTTTAGCTACTTGACAAGGAAAGAGTATCTTGGAACTAAGAGATAAGAAAAATGATCTTGTCCAGTGAGCTAGAGGTGCTGGGAGAACTTGGGCAAAACCTTGAGTTCCTGAGTCTCCTAGTTCTGAGATCAGACCTACAGATTAAGGCCGCCAAAGATACTTCACCTCTCCCTCTGTCCCCCCAAGTCATCCTGGCACCTGCCCCTGAAAAAGGAGACTGGAGTTAGCCCTGTGACAGAGAGGTGTGAAGAGCAGAGAATCTTCACTCAGTCAGCTCCCAGGTAGAAAATAAAGTTTGCACTAAAGTCTGCTGGCAGAGACCTCTCCAAAGTACTGAAGAGCAACGATACCAGTCTGGAGACTAAGGTGTATCTGATATATAGGCCATGGTCTTTCCAGTTACTTGCTATGCATCAGAGAGCTGGACAATGGCTAGGGAGGATAGAAGGTGAATTGATGCCTTTGAGCTGTGGTGCTGGAGAAGAGTATTGAATAGACCATGGACTGCTAGGAAAACAAATAAGTTTGTCCTGGAGAGGGTGAAGCTGGGCTACTCCTTGGAGGCAAGGATTCTGAGCTTCATCTGACATACTCTGGACATGTTGCAAGGTGGGATCAGTCCTTAGAGAGGGACGTCATGCAAGGGACCCTTGGAGTGGGTGGAGGGACAGCACAGGAGAGGAAGACCCTCGATGAGGTGAATTGATTTAGTGACTGGGAATAGGTATGTCAGAGATAATAAGATTGGCACAGGATAGAGGAGGGTTTAGATGTTATACATAGGGTTGTTATGAATCACAGGTGACTCAACACACAACAATAATTTTCAAAAAGTTAATAACTCTTTGGTCTAAAGTAAAGCTGTATTTGAGCAAAGTGAGAGCAACACCTTAGTTATTAGGGTGTGTGGCCTAGCAGCTAGAGATCAAGCTTTATAAATTAGGTACTAGATGTGTTTTCCCAGAACTCCTGGTCAAGCCATAGTTTCTAGGTCACTAGGGTTCCATTTCCCCATTCAGAAGTGAGAGCTGCCTTCACAGCTGTCAGTCCATGGCTGGTTTCCCTCCCTGTCTTTCCCAGTCTCTGTGCTCTCTCTCGCTCTCTCTCTCCCTCCCTC